GAAACAAAAACTCTACTTCGTGTTAACTATCAGCTCTGTGAGCACAGCTCTGTGTAAAAACAGTGATTAAATACATTTGCCCTGGAGCATTTAACTACAGGAGGCTAAATCTAAAAGGAACTAATGATCGAGGGGGGCAATGTCTTATAAGTTGATTTAATATCCACTTATAAAGGGCCATTCTAGATCAGATAGATATGTAACCCCATACCTTGTCTCTGGCTATTGTCAGGTGGAAGTGAGTAGGTCTTGATATGATTGTTAATATTGAGAAGGCAATTTAAAGCTTTACAATGTGATTTACTATGCCTTCCAAAATTTAAATAAAATATTTTGTCTCTTATAATTCAGATTTTCCTGTTATCATGTACACTTCCAGTTATGTGGGCTTTTTGCACTCCGTCAAGTCTCAGCAATTTCTTGCAACAAGTTACCTTATTTAGCAGCTTCCCATGTGAAAAATAGTTCATTTAATTGGCTCCATATTTCCTTAAATTTCAGTATATTATGAGAAAAAGTGAACAGAAATACCAATACTTCCTCTCCAGACCTCTCTGTTTATATATTAGTCCTTCATCCACTGTAATCCTGGCTTCTCTGGTTTATCAAAATCCCAAATTTTTGTCTTTGAGGGACATTTCCCAGACTGCTAGCTCATTTCTACCACTTGCAGTATTCTTTAAGAACTGTGAGATCACAACTGCTTTATATAACAGCACTATCATTTTTCTGAGGTCATTTTCTATACCATGATTTATTCAGGCTCTCTTTTTTTTCTTTTTTTTTTCGACTGCAGCTGCACAATGAACTAAGATATTTTTGAATGGCACAAAATAAATATTAAGATTTTTGCATACTTATACAAGAATGAAATATCTGATGGAAGAATTTACTAAAATTAGTAGATGAAATCATAACAACACGCAACTACTGTTCAATCATGAATCCAACAGAGTCAGATAAGTTCAGTTTCAAAACAAGCTTCAGTTTATCACCTTTGAAGGTTACAGTGTAAGTTTACCGGGAGTGGTGAAGAATCACCATCACTGGCAATATATGAAAAATAAAAAGTATACTTTAACTAATTTTAGGCCAGAAGTTACAGGCATCTCTTCTGAAATTAATTTATGTGGTTAGAGGTCACTATAATTAATGGTCATACTTTGAGTTTTAACCAGGGGCTTGTAGGGTTTTTGGGTCACTACTCTGTGACACATTACATAAATTACTGGAGTGCCAGTATATTTGGAGGGCACTCCAGTCTGGTATATTCTGTTTGCCTGATACTAACTTGAAGATAAGAACAAACTTCGTCCAGGAATAGACTGGTAGAAACACCTGGGGTTTTCAGTTTTCAGGAGCTGAATGCTTATTTTTCAACTTTAATTACTTTCAAAATGACATGAATCTTTGCAATCGATTCTTTACACTGGTTTGTTTTGAGCAAGAAAGCCAACATCTTAACTTGAATTTGATTTTCTTTTTCAAAATTAAATAAATCACACTGCAAAATAATTACTAGGTGTGTAGTTGATGACTACCTTAAAGCCTCACATCTGGATATCAGCTCACATCAGCATCATCAGGATCACATCAGTTCAAGCAGTTTATGTTTGACATCTAACTTGAATAGGCATGACACCTCACTAAACTTACTCACTCTCTGAAACTTCTAATTTTAGTGCCACATGTACCATTATCGAATTTGTTGCTTAGCGTTTTCTGAAATTATTTGTTGTGATTTTGAGTTTTTGTTTACACTCTGTTAAATTACTTAGCACTGCATGCAATTGCCACAGTATATATTGCATCAAAAAAGCCCACCTCTACTTTGCTAAACATTTAAAACATACAAGAAACAGTTAATATCCAGAGAGTCTATATTAGAGACAAAGGATAGAAGAAGGAAATGAGCAATGAGGAGGCAAATGTCATAAAAGAAGTATATTTTTTTTGTATCTCATGCTTGTGAAAATGTACTACATGCACACACACAGAAGAAGCATTATAAAACTCTTCACTTCTCACTAGACTAAGCACTTGGAATTTGGTTTGGGAGTCAGGAATATTTTAAAGGCAAACTGTATCCTTTCTGATGGACAAAGCACTTTTGAATACCTTCCGTCTTCAACTTCACTTTAAAGTTTTAATGAAAGAATAAATAAAAAAAAAAAGCAAAAACAAACACCAGAAATATTCATGACATATTTTCCATCTGGTGCCGTAACAGCAATTCTGGGATACACGTATTTTTTCTTGCTAGAGTTCTGTTTTCAGCACATTTTCAGAACATCTGGGCAGGGGAGATGCTATGAATGCAACAGTGACAACTAGTTTTAAGAAACAAGTAAAATTCCTTCTTTGTTTTATTCTACAGCAAAAACTTTCAGGCATATGGAAAGCATGCATCTTTTTACCAACTTTTCACTGCAATCGATCAAATTAATGTATATGTTAGTATGACTGAAATGAGAACATGGAATATGTAAAATGTCACCTACTTTGAACCTCAAACTAGACTTCTTATTCTAGCAATAATTCTAAAATGTATATACATAAACATACATATACCTGAGGCAAATTCAAATAAGATTATCATTCACAGTGGAAAACAAGTACGTTGTGAAGCAAATGCAATACTTATCTGAGTATGCTGTAAAATCTGAAGATATTTTTCATTCCAATCACTTTGGTCTACAGACCTAGCTCATGTATCACCTGAATTCATTACAGTAATACCTGTTTTGTGATCCACTTAACCTTTCTACTGCCAGAGTTTGTCTGCTTTTAAATTTAACTGTGATGATCTTATCAGATAATCTCAAGCATTTGGTCTTTGGAAAACTGCTATTTATCTTCCTCATCCAGAGTTTTATTATTATGTTATAAGATACTAATATTGCAATGATACCAGGGATCTCTCTAACCAGTCCTGATGAAAATTATTCCAGTAACTTGCTTAATGTCTGCTATAGGACTGATAAATCCAAGGAATGAGCTTATGAGAAACATGCATAAAACCAAAAAAAAAATCAAAACAGAGCAGTAACCACCTGCTGAGTTACTGCAAACTAACAGCAATACAACAAAGCTGAAAAGGGGAAAAATAAATGATATGTCAAAAACACTTAGTAGAAGTAATTAGGTGGACCCAGATAACAGCTATGAATATGGTAAAAACTTCAAAATGAGAACAGGAATAGATTAGGATTGGCTGTACTACAGTCCCACAATATGGTCTTAGATTGGAAAACAGAAGATGTGAATTCTCCTGTGGCATAAAATCTGCTACACTGATCCTGCTGGCAAACAGGCAGGATTCTTCCTCTCACGAGCTTTATAAAAGCAGTGTTTTTGGCTGTTGTTTTCTCCTCCACTCCTCCCTTTGGAAAAATGTTTTGAAAACAAAGACTCATTGAGTTGAAAGGGCTTCAGAGACAGTATCTAGTCCACGCTACACTTTTGACAGCTCCAAAAATTATTTTCAAGATGAAATCAAGCCTAACAGTTATGGTTTCCTCTTAAATGATAGTTCTCCAGTACTCTATCTTCCTGTTTTTCTCTCCCACCTTTCATGAAAGAAGTCTTGACTACACAGATTTTATACAGCCTTTGAACTATACAGTGACAAAAAATCTATGCAACTCATGCTATTATGAACATATTATGAATGTTTCCAGAATACAGCCTTACTAAAGGTAAAGATCTGGTGAATCTCCTTTAAAACCAATACTATCATCTAAAGGTTGGAAAAGAAAATGCTTTAAGTCCTTCTGTCTATTTTCAGATAGGTCTTTAGATTTTTTTGGTGACAATTGGGCTTGTAACATTTTACATCTGCAAGGCAGATTCAATAACCCACAGAGAAGGCGGAATTCTACTGCTTCCACTGCAATTTTTCTTGAGATTAATTAGCTCTCCAATTGCTGCAAGATCCTCAGTGGAAAAGGCTTTAAAAACAAATTAAATCCAGCAAACATCTTTTGCTACATATTAATCAAAGTTTAGTATTTCCTTACAACACATAGTAAAGATAGGAAACTAGTAGTAACACGGCACAGTAACTTCTCCTTTATTCACTAGTGTAAAAATCCATCTTTTTAATTATTTTGAAGGATACAGCCCTGTAACAATAAAGAGGAAAAATAGTATTGAAGCAGAAGAACCTCTGAGGAATAAGTTATATACAGGCTTTATGTTACTGTCCTTTCCCTTCTGATATTACCCTCCTATATTTATTTATTTATTTCACCCACTTGGAAATTATGAAAAAGCATAAAAATATTTCAGATTTTCTTTTCTATATTAGTACAACAAACTCTAAGACACAAGGAAGGCAGCAGAGTAATTATTATCCAAAGAATTCTTGCTCAGATAGACTTATCCACACAGTCCTTCTATGACTGCAAAAAATCGAACTCGAGAGAGACAGCTTTTAGGTTCAAACTCACTTAAACTTGGTAAGCAAAATACAGACTCCCTACCCAAGTTCTTTGTTTTGGAAGAACGGTGGGGTTTTTTGTTGGTTTCTACCTACTTTTGGTTTGTTTGTTTTTTTTTTTTTCCTTGGTACACAGTATTAGGCAGGACAAGCCTGTGCTCTAAAACTAAATTTTACTGAAACCATTAAAGCAACAGTTTTCAAAATATAATAATAACAAGAAATATTTGGATTGCCTTGCACACAATCACCGGCTCTGATACTATAGATGCAGCATGAGCACGTAGTGGGACATCAGGAGAGATGAGAGACGGATCTCCCCTTTTCAGTGGAAACCCATCATAGATGTTGCAACATGAAACAAGACTCCAAGGTACATTTTATTTTCACTCACGTTTGCTAAGACTTTTCCTCCACTTCAACCACCTCCTTTCTTCTGGCTTTGATGGGGTTGCCCGTTGAAGAACACAGAGCCACATAAGAGCAGTGCAAAATGACTCTGACAACTCACGTTAGGAGTCAGGCCTATGGGCCATAAGGGACGCGGAGCATGACTTACCACGCTACAGCCAGGACAGTCGGGACCGTTTTCACACGTCCTGCGCCGAGCCTGAATCCCTCCGCCGCACTGCGCCGTGCAACGCTCCCACGGACCCCAGCCCGTCCAAAACACATGGGGAGGGCACAACAAGTGCTCATTGCAATACCTGTGAGAAGGGGAAAAAAAAAATTACTACCAGAAAAGATACCTTCCCCCCAAATCCTTCTTTTGCACTATTCAGACAGATGTTCACACATGGAAATACTTCATACAAAGGAGCCCTCTCTACTTTTAAAGCCCTGTACTAACAGCTGTCACACTGCATAGTGTTTGAACCTTAGAGATCGTGATTTTGGCCCAATAATTGGGAAGAGATGAAAAATTTTCTTAGATTATTCAGTACCTTTATACAACCTATGCAATATAAACACGGTGTTGCACTTGGAACACATAAGCAAAGTTGATGACTACTTCAGTAAACAAATAAGCAAAAGGTAGTGTAGATATAGATATATGGAGTGAGGACTGACTCAACTAAATGAGGTAACCATTTATGCAGACAATCTTCTCTCAGTCTCTAAGCCTTGATTAGGATCCACTTATTTCCTCCTTAGTGGAAATGGCTTCTTTGCCTTCTGCAGTACCTCCAAATTTATGCCTAAAATAAAGCTAAAACAGTGACTCTCGATATAAAAAAGTGAATTATTTTGATAGTACTTAATGATGGTATCTCCTAAAAAGCATTTTTACTTAGATTTACGTTTTTTTAAAAAAAAACTATCAAGCTGTTGTTCTAATGATATGTTCAGGTAGTTGGAATGGTCCCAACTTCTAGTGAATTTTCTCATTTTGTTTTGAAAGAACCCCAAACTCCTCATTTTTTCGAGCTTGTCATTTAGTAATACTAAGTATATCATATGCTGCTTGGTAAAGGCCTTCTCCACAGGTATAAAAGATATAGGTCACCAGAAGCTCTGAGTAGGTATCTTAAAAAGACTAAGTTTTTATTCAAGATAAATTAAAGTCACGACAGATGCTCAGAAAACAGATGACCCTAAATGGCTGTTCTGATCTCTTGTGAAAGCTCTTGATCCTACTACTTCTGACTGTCCCAAACAGAGAAATCAATCAATTACAGTATTTCCTGGTTTTGCATGGGCTGCTGTCCTTTCGCCTTTCTAGCCAGTTTCCATCACTTTGTGCTCTCATGCAATGAAAACTTAAACAATGTATTTCCTACACAAACAGAAACAAGGCTAGTGTAAACTATTAATATTTTAAACAACAGTAACTATAATCTTTTTTTTTTTTTTGTAGAAAGCATTTTTCATTACTGAGGATATTTGATGTTCCAAATTCTGTGGATGTGGTTTTTGTGTTTTATATGTAGTTGAAGGTTTATAGCATATGTTGAAGTCTGTGATTCAAAGATTGTCTTTAGGCCTGAGAACTCCCTTGAAATTTAAAAGATTGAGTAGGAGATAAACAAGAGAGTAAGATTTGGTTTTATGTTCTGTACAGTTAGAGAAACTACCAAAAGCATGTATTGACCTCTTTTGTGGTTCTCCAGTAAACTGAAACTCCTCTCAATATTTACTAATCTGCTTTCTCTAAATTTCTCAGTGCATGATTTGAGTAAATTATTTACAGTAGTGGCCTGTGCACAGACTATTTTTTCTTTGTGAAGTTGGCAATTACTGATGCATAGACACATAAGTATAATGGATAGTAGGCCTTATCTCACCTAAAACCAGACTTTTACAAAGTTGATGTCTATAAATTGTCATCTAAACCTCAGCAATAGTCAATGGAAAGAAACGGTCTTTTTAAAAACATCATTCATGCCACCCTCAAGCAGGATACCTAATGCAGGTCCCACAAATCAAACCCTCATCGTACCATTTTCTCTCCATTGACTATAAAGGCAGTCTAGACAGATCAGTCTAAGGTAGCTGAGGATTTAATTTTACCTGTCAGTGTCTGCATGGGAGACAGTTGTCTAATCTCCCATTACAGTCAATGGAGACTTCATCAATACAAGCAATGTACACTAGAATGATTAATTTGACCAAGTGCAGGAATCTACAGTAAAGCAAGACAAATGACTCTCTATTCTCCACTGCCTATATTGACCAGATTTCTACAGACTACAGTACAGCTCAGACATCTGACTCTCAGATAAACACTCACGCTGTGGACACCTAAAGTTAAGTGTGATAAATCTCACATAGATGAGAATCATTACACTTTACTTCTCTGTACAGTGCCTCTTTTAATGCTAAAGTGCCATGTCACCTGCTCTGTCACTTGAGTGGGAGACAGAAAATAAACATAACAATTGACACAGTAAGCACTTCAAAGGTTTGCAATGTCAGAAGTCTGTTAACCAAGACTATTTAGAGATAGAGCTGGAGCTGCAAAGGGAAATTGAAAAAACATCTAAAAGGCCCATTCAATGCTTAGCTTCCATTTAGAAGAAAAAAAAAATTAAAAGGCTGATTTTTGTTTGTCTGTCTGTTTCTGTTTCTTAGGGGAAAAAAAAAAAAAAGGAACACCAAAGCTGCAATCTTATTTTCACTTCAGTTAGCCATCTTCTGAAAATATCAGGTATGCTTTTATACTTAGAGACATCCCTGCAACTGGTCTTCGAGAGCTTTGCTACAGCAAGGGTTTCTGAGCCAAGTTTTATTATGCTCTTCTTGGCTGCATTTCAAGTATCTCAGTAACCCTCTTTTGCTCTTTTGCTCTCTCTCCCCCTTTCAGATTTGTTCTCAGGACCCACAGGGCTAACAGTTTAGAGTAATTCAGCAAAGCATGCAACATAAGAAACTTAGATCTGTGAAATGAGTGCCCTCTCCCCTAATCCCTTCTCTGACTGTGCTTAGGTCAGAAGAGAGAACAGCCTAGAAAAAGGCAAGTTTGGTACAGCGACTCTTCCCATGCAATGGGGAACCCAAGTTCAAATGCCTTAAACAAATGACTTGTCATACAGGGGAGACAGAGAGCATCCTCTATCCAGATCTAGTTGATAAACAGTAGTTCATACAGCAGTTTTTAATTTTTACTGAGGCAATTCCAGTACAAATGCAACTGTTGTTCCTATGAAGAACAGATCCTTTATTAATACGTGAGTTTATTTCCATCTTTCCATCTTAAAGTGATGGAACGGCTCATACTGGCCGTTGTCTCCAGGCACACGGAGGACAAGAAGGTGCTCAAGAGTAGTCAGCATGGATTCACCAAGGGGAAATCTTGCCTGACTAACCTGATAGCCTTCTATGATGAAATGACCGGCTGGATAGACGAGGGGAGAGCGGTGGATGTCGTCTATCTCGACTTCACCAAGGCTTTTGACACCGTCCCTCACAACATCCTCCTGGGCAAGCTCCGGAAGTGTGGGATAGATGAGTGCACAGTGAGATGGATTAGGAACTGGCTGGATGGCAGAGCTCAGACGGTGGTGATCAGCGGTGCAGAGTCTAGTAGAATATGGTAATTCAGCAACGCTTACTCTGTTTACCTTTTGCCCTTGTATATATCCATTGATCTTCTGGGGACCGACCTTCTGGAGAGCAGCTCTGCGGAGAAAGACCTGGGTGTCATGGTGGATGATAAGTTGACCATGAGGCAGCAGTGTGCCCTCGTGGCCAAGAAGGCCAATGGGATCCTGGGCTGCATTAAGAAGAGCATCTCTAGCAGGTCGAGGGAGGTGATCCTGCCCCTCTACTCAGCCCTGGTGAGGCCGCATCTGGAGTATTGTGTCCAGTTCTGGGCTCCACAGTACAAGAGGGATGTGGAGCTGCTGGAGAGAGTCCAGCGCAGGGCTACAAGGATGCTCAGGGGCCTGGAACATCTGCCCTATGAGGAGAGGCTGGGGGAGCTGGGCCTGTTCAGCCTGGAGAAGAGAAGGCTGAGAGGGGATCTAATCAGTGTCTATAAGTACCTCAAGGGAGGGAGTGCAGAGGACGGTGCTGGTCTCTTTTCAGTGGTGGCCACTGATCGGACTAGAGGAAATGGCCGGAAACTGAAACACCAAAAATTCCATAGGAACCTGAGGAAAAATTTCTTAACAGTGAGGGTGACAGAGCACTGGAACAGGCTGCCCAGAGAGGTTGTGGAGTCTCCTTCTCTGGAGATCTTCAAAACCCGCTTGGATGCAGTCCTGTGCCACGTGCTCTAGGTGTCCCTGCGTATGCAGGGGGGTTGGACTAGATGATCTCTAGAGGTCCCTTCCAACCCTAAGCATTCTATGATTCTATGATTCTATGATTGCCACGCAGCACTGAGTACCTCGAGATTATTTTTTTATTATTTTTTTGGAGGAATGCTATTTTATTTAAACACATAATTATTAATTTTGAATGTAGGATTGTGCTAGAGTGTATTTAAGAAAAACAAACCTCCATTACTGCTTGCCTATATCTGTGATATATTTTCTTTGCAGCAGGTACTAGTGGTTACCAGCTGTTGAGTTATGGAAAGCACATTCTATACGCTGCATTCCTGAAATTGAAACTAGACATATGATTCAAACAGATTCCTTCTGGGAGGACACTACTGAAACAACAGAAATCTTCCAGGGTTTTGAAAGTGTTACTCCTCACCTCCAAACAATTTGTTTTCCTGACTGGCTCTGTATCTTTTTTTCTTTCTTCCTATGTCATGGAAGACAAATACATTCACTAAAAACGAGAGCTTCTTGCTCTCATGTCCCTCATTTCTGCACAAAATAGAGAGAGAGATCAGTGGCTTTAGTGGGTCCTCTCTCCACCGAAAGAGGCTGGACAAACATTTTTGCTCAGCAAAGAAATAAAGTGAGGACACTGTAAACTATTTAAACTAAAACTTGAAGATTTTTCCAGCAGCTTCAGGGAATATTCCGCCCACAGGAAAAAATGTAAATTAGTAAATCCCTAAAGAATATCAAGATGTCTTCCATCTTAAGTTTCACAACATATATATTTCTTCTGATAAAACAAGTTTTATTAAAATACTAGTTTTACTCCCTTTCCATATGAGGTCTAAACACACACAGGACATCAGCTGCACTTTTGACCTGTTTCTACAGAGCAAATTGGCTTTCCATCACAGTTTTGGTAGCGCTCTCTCAACTATTTTCCATTCCCCGCTTTAGCAAAAGACTATGCAACAGCTTAATCTGCCTGCATGTCTTTAATTTGGTAACTAGTGCCATGGATTTCAAGGGAACAACAAACAAGCACAAACCTGCTTGCTACATAAGACACTGCAGGAATACGGCCTTCATGAGAAAAAAACAAAAATAATCTAGTCAAATGTATAGCCCTTAATACACGAACATAACCGTAAAACTGAATATTCATTCACATTTGTAGGAGGATTTGCTTCAGTCCCAAGCTGCCTTTTCTGTGTTTACCTCCTAGGGCATGATGCAACGGAGCTCCCCTGGATCCGATGCTCACTGCAAAGCTGTTCAGAACTAGGCACGATGCTGGCTGCAGAAACCAATGTCTGTATTTGCACACCAGAATATGAGAGGCTGGCATGAATATGTATTTTTATAAAGTACAGGCACACAATGTGCAAACCACGAAATCCTGTTTTTTTGTTAAGACTCTACATATATTGATTTCACACACGGGCTTAACTAAGTTGTTAAGCTGTTTATGAACAATCATTTTCAGAGAAATCTAAAAAGCTGCTTGCAGATACTCTAGATGCAGAAAATCCATAGACAAGGAAAGATCTGAACAAAATGATTGCACAGGTAGGATGAAGGAGGCAGAGTACTGTGTGTATGGGAGAAAGGTAAAACCTGATATCTAAATATTTTTATGAATTATGCACATGGACTACTTGCTTAGCAACCCTACATATACTGAGTCCAGTTTTCAAATGCATGGTCACCATTTGTTGCAGAGTTAACCTCACTGGTTCTTGAGTTAAGTTGATACTCACTGTTCTTATAGCTCAAAACTCTCTATGAGGCAAGAAAAATATCTTTACTCTTCTGAATTTTACACTGCTTTGTCCTTAGCACTATTTATTTGCTCCTTCCTGCTCCAAAATGATTTACTCAAATACTTACACTGGGAAATAACTACTGGGTACCCATTCTTCCAGAAGGGCAGCCTTACAAATGATAGGGCAAAAATTTCTAACATAGCACACTTTGAATTAAATTATGAAAGTAAGCCTTTTGAAAGTATCAGTATACATCACGAGTAACCTGAACAAGACCAGAGTAAAGGTAGGAAGGTTGCTGTGAGCCAACTACTCAGTTGGAGGTGGCTGGATATGGAGACGCAATATCCATTAGAGGTGAGAATGCTTCAAGGAGAGAGGAAACAGGTGGAGGAGCTAAGGAAGACAACGGGTACTCTGCAATAAGCTCACAGGCACATCCATCCTAGACTGCTGCTCAGCCGAATGAGGAGCAAAAGGACATGTTCCTTGCAGGCTACAAAAGCACAGAACCTTAAGTCTGCTGTTTCTTCAGAACTACTACATACTAAAAATCAACCCTTTAAAGTTATTATTGTTTCAACTCATTGTACAACTTTTTTTTTTTAGTGCATCCATTTTCTCAATAGCAGATATTTTTGCTCTTACAATCACCTAAGTTTTTGTTTTCTGCATCTCTCTTAATCTCCTTATTGGCCCTTTTTTCATGTTAAAATTAAGATAAACAATAATTACTAGCATTACTGCTGCAGCACCAAGATGGCTCTTCAAACACAACTCTCTTCTTTTACACTCTCTCTTACTGTGTCTTGCCCTGGACTGACCTATCACTTCAAAGATATCAGTAACTTATTCATGATGGAGAGAAATATGCAAATCTAGTAATTCTACACTTGGTAGTGACAGCTTTTTTGTTGAACAACCTATTTTCAGAAAGCAATTTACAGAAAAACAAAATGCTCCCCTCCGTGATGAAATCACTGTATATAATCATGGCTCTGAAACAGTAAGAAGTTTTCACATGCGCTGCCATACTGATGCTTTACACTTGGAGTTGGAAAGACAGGATCCAGTCCTTGATCTTCTGTTAGTACATAAATATGTGATGCAGCCTCTCTTTGTTGGGATCTCTTTATCTGACAAAATGGTAGGGCTAATATAACAAGGAAATCCCCCACAATCTCATCATAAAGGTTCCTGGATCTTGCTTTTATCTGCCTGCAGTATAAGATGTTAATCATTCCTTCTTTGCTTATGTGAAAGCATTTTACGGAAACACTGAAGTAAGCTACAAGTGCACACTGAGAGCAAACTTCCCCTCACATATCTCTTGGAACAATAACTACAGTACTCCGAACGCTAACACTAACCACAATCTTCTGCTTGCAAACTTTCTGGTAAGCCTCAGGAAACAAGATAATACATATAAGAATTATAGTCTGCCTGAATAGATATTAATTTGCTTTAAAGAAATGTTTAATTGCTGTTATAATTCACAGCACATAACTTGAAACATAAATACGTTATGTTCAAATAACTTGAACATAAATTAGAAACTTTAGGATATATGGCTAATGGAATCAGAGACTCAAGCTTTACATTCTCAGCTAGGGACAAAATGCCCAGTCCTATGCAAAGCAGCAGACTGTGAAAACAAATCCTGAGTTAGATGCCTGACTTGATCTTTTGAGGGGTATCTATATATATATATGTATGTATATATACATATATATAAAAAATGTGTGTGTGTGTGTGTATATAAATACGCATATTTTTATATGTAGTATAAATACATATGTATGTATAAACATATATATATATATATACACAAACAATTTAAGTTTTCCTGAAACCTTACTAAAACATTTTTGAGTCCAGTCTGTAATTTTGTGATTTAATATAAGACAAAGCCCCTGAAACTTCCCAACATGTTGTACATAGGCTCAATTCACTCGCAGTATCAGTAACACAGTGTTGTGACCTTACTATATTTTGCTCTGAATTCCAGGTCTTGAGGCTGGGCAAGATGCAGTTCAAGACACCCTGCAATCAATTTTCCAGGAGAATCAGCTTTCAGGGTCTCAAGGGGCAGCAAAGAGGATTGCTTCAGCACAGTGAAGCATACAGCTGAGCAGCAGAAGTTAAAGCAAATGATAGGGAACAGCGAGCTCACCTTTCCTCGCGATTCTGCCCCACGCAGACACGTCCTCCGTGTCGAGGGGTTGGGTTGCTGCAGGAGCGCTGGCGAACTTGAAAGCCTATTCCACAAGTGGTACTACAAGGGGACCAAGAAGTCCACGGCGTCCAGCCTCCATTTCTGGTAGAACAAAAAGCTCAGGCTCTGTCATCTGTTATACATAGCGAATGGCTGATTAGGTGTGACTGGCAACAGAACCCGGCCCATTAATATTTCTGTAGAAATCATTTATTCTGCATGATGTTCCATTTCTTAAAGAATATTGAGCTAAATTATAGGTGCTCTCATCCTTCCATATCCCCTGCACCTGCTAGACAGACCCCATTACATAATGAGTAAAATACAGTGTCCAAAGATATGAAGCTATTGAGTATCTTTCAGTCAGTCTATTCTGGGTAGATCTGATCTTCAAATTCCTGTATCAAAGTTATGAAGATAACTTCAAATTATGTATTTAATTTATTATTTGCAGTTATTTTTACTACTAGGGAGATTAAAATGTCACGTTTTGCTCCCTTTTCTGAAAGGAAAATGATTAGAAAAGGGAAGAAAAGTTTCAAGAGAAGTAGAGTCAAGATGTATTAGATTACAATTTCAATAGGATATTTCCAGTAGAAAAGTTTAAAAAGGAATTTCACACTCCACAAAAAAAAAAAAAAAAGAACTTCAGCAATGTCCAGAACTTTCCAATGGCTAGTGTGCAGTTTTTGTATTGATGATAAAACAGAACAAATAGAAAATCGAGAAGATCAAAATCCAATCATAATGAATTCTTGAAGTTTCATCATAAAAGCAAAAGTTAAAATAATGTCTTGTGTGATTTTGAAATAAACTTGTTTTTAAAATTTGAAAACTAACTAGATTTAATAATAAAGAAGATGAAAGATTATTCCATTAGCAACCATGAGTTTAAATGTCATTAATCTTGATGTATCGCTATTGTGAAATTGCTTTGTGTACCTGGAGCAGTTGGCAATTTCCATGGTCGGTCCTTCACACAGCCAGCCTCCACACTGAGGAGCTGGGCTGTCACACAGACGAGTCCTGCAGAGGCAGGAGCCAATGCTGGCACCATCCGTGTGGGTGCAAGGTTTCCATTGCGACCATGTCCCGAAACTCCCGTCCACGGTCAAATTCCTGGTCTAGGAACAAACAGAGCAGAAAAGCTTATTCTGAAGCCTGGTAGGTTTCTCTTTGCTTTTTCTTGCCTCCCACACAGCAAACTCGCCTCGCTGCAACTTCTGCAGCTGCATGAGTCCCAGCACCCACCCCAAACCTCCAATTGATACGGGCCACTGGAAGCCTCTCCCATAGCCAGGAAAATAATTGTAACTAATTGATACCTCTGATAACCATGCTTTCCTACAGTAATTCCACAGAGCTGTTTAGTTTCACTTTCTGAGTTATCTTCTAATAACAGTATTCCATATTTCCTCAAACTTTCCTGTGATTAGGATTAATAAGCATGTGCAAGAATGCTTATGGAAACCTCGATCTAGGCCAAAAAGGAGAGACAGTAGGGGAAAATATTCAAGGTAAGGAAGTGGCTTGAATCAATCTCAAAACTTCAGGATAAGCATTTCTTTTTTTACAATCTTTTTTTGAAATACATATTTTAAAATCATTTCAAAGGAATGAAATCTATTTTTAAGTATGACTATCAATAAGTATTTTAGGTCATTATATGCATGTGTTCTAAAAACATCGTTAAAAGTTACCATCATGATCATAGTATCAAAGTTACCATCATTCATAACACATGTTAATGCAATTTTTTTTACTGATATATTTGATGGATTTTATTTAACTGTCCAGTTAAATAAAACGTCCTAACTCCAGTTCCATCAGTCTTCCCTGCTACTGGAACCTTTAAAGAAACTGGAGGTGGACATAGGAATTCAGCTCTCTTGGCTCTTGTAATATTAATTTAATTGTATTTATTTTTACCAGGTGTTTACCTCTGGTTATCCTTATAAATGGAAAAGATGGTCATTTTTCCACTTAAATGTTAACAGACTTGCCAGGTTTAGTCATCACATTTTATTCTTCAGTCAACACAACAGAACTAATAAGAGACAGCTAAATAGTATCTACAGTTATTCTTAAATTAAGAATAAATACATATGTGTTGTATTCCTTCATATCTTACCAAATGTGTAAGAACAATGTAGCACATACTCCACTAGCGGCTACAATTGCAAAATTGTTATGAATTAAATGAAATGGTGTCAATGATGTCTCCCTTGGCTATTTTTAGTATCTCTTCATTTATTCATGGTGGGAAATACATGTTTCACTAATAATTTGAAGATATAAAAACCAAATCAATCACAACACTGACACATTTCCAGTGCCTTACTGCATGTTGCCTGATTCTTTCCACTTTGGTAAAGGTTCTATAATTTCATTATCAATTACTTTTCTCATGATTTATCCTTCACAAATACTGCTACTCCAAGGAAAAGATAGGTTTGTATTCTATTCACTTACAGGTGACATAAGAATAATTCATCATTTTAGAGTTCTGACACCTGTTGATTGAAAATAATGTACCAGTCTTTGCTCACATGCAGTATCTGCTCTTATTTTTCATCATGAGAGGAGTTTTGTGTTGTCTAAGTGACAAGCATACTTTCTCTCTTACATTGCTGTTTTTAAAAATATATATAGTCCATAGACCAGTAATGATATTTCTCCAGCCCAATTAATGTCATTAAGTGTGAAAAAATATCTGTAATGCTTTCTTTTCTGTGCTGTATCAAAGCATCTTTGTCATCACAGCTACAATTAGAAACTAAACCTACAGTTGCCTATGGTTACTGTAATTTACATCAAATGACAGGGAAGTTATTCATCAAAACCGCATAAAAGCATGAGCTAGGAAACACATACTGATGGCAGGTTTGTCTGATTCCCCCAACTCCTGTAAAGCTCTTCTCTGGCCAAATGGATGAAGTTCAAAACAGCTATGTGTACTACAGCACTTGTTACTGTGCACAGAATTGGTGTACTCATACCAAGCAAAACAATACCTAAAATACCCACTTGAGAATTGCAACTAGTTATACTCTTGTTTTTTTCTTCTTTTCTCAGAGTAGTGAATAAAGAGGCCTCAAATCATTTGCTTTTAGAAAAAAAACATGGTCATGCATTTGTCTCACAAATTTTCTGTAACATTAAAAAGATCAGTGTAGCTTACACAGTTAATACATTGGAACCGAATGGAACCAAAATAGATGGTAGAAAGTTTTCTAATGCCCTGGTAAGTTTTGCTTTCAACAGTATCTTAGCTAGATACAGTAACAGCTATGCATGTGCATAGCTTAGCCATCCGCAAAACAGAATAAACAATATCTTGGCTTGTATATCCTGTGAATATAGCATGAAAAATGCAATAAAGACAAATATTTGAAAGCTTTACTAGGCAAAATTGTAACCTATTGCCATTTACCAGAATACACTGCTATTTTCAAAACAAAGTTTCTATGAAGTTGAAAATTTGTGCAATAACAAGCTTTTAAGGTTTTAGAGAGTAAAGTACCACAATCACCCTTTCCAATTTACAGAGATAGTTCATTAATACTAAAAATTTCTTTTAGTAATTCCAGTCTACCAATTTGTGTAATTCCTTTTGAGGCTTGTTTATCATTTCATCTCTAATCTGCAGAATAAGTCTCAGATACGTGGATGGATTTGTGATCCAGCCTTTGGTGTTCCCCTACTGTGTCTGCACTGTCAGATCCTACAAAATTGACACTAAAAAAAATGCTTTTCAGTTGAACAGGACAGAATTAAAGGTTGTTTCTTAAAGCATGAATCCTTCCTCTTTTCTGATCAGTAAAGGAAGTAAGAGCTAATGCCAGAATTCATAGACTAAGCAATAGGCAGACTGCCCATGCAAATAACAAACCTACTCATTGCAGTAATTCTTCCCAACATAGTATTCCCGCTACACCACCAGGAAACTGTCCACGTAACCACATTTATTCTGTGGGATTACTGCAGGGAGATATGATATGCTTCACACTTGGAAGCCAAAGTATGGTGCATCTAGTTACTTGACAACAATGGACTTGTTGTCACTAGTGACTGAATCCAGGCTTTCTGCGAGACAGTGGCTATATCTATATTAACAAGTGGCATGGACATAAACCGTTATGTCTAGCAAGTAAAACAGTTGGTGCTGAACATGCATACTGCATATACCATCCACATTTTGTGGGGTTTCCTATGGACTCCCTCTGGCCTTGGACCATATGCCTGTAAGTAGTTGGAGCACATTCTTATTTTAATTTAACATGAAAGTAAAGCAGCTTACATACTTCAAAGATGGCTTTCCATGTGAGCCAAGATCAGTAAATAGGAAAAATCGAGCTATTTATCCCCAAATCTGCCCCTGATTTTGAACTAAAGTGATAATACAGATGAACCCAGTGAAAGCCTTTTTTATTAAGCCACTATGTCAGAGCATGGATGTAGAGAACAGGACAAGATTTTGTTTGAATGATTAATAATGTCAAGTGCTGACAATTAGAACTTAGGAGCTAGTTCTCAAGGACTTCAGAATCAGCGCAGTGATCTGTATCCATCAGATTGCTGCAACACATGTAGAGATCACAAGCAAGAGTCAGAAGTGTTTCACACGAATCCTGCAAATCTCTAATTCACTAAACAAGCACATCTTAATAGAGATAAATGTCAGTAAGTTTGAGATGAACTAAGGATGAGCTTGTTAAACACATGAAGAATAGGACATGGATGTCGTATTAGTATAAATTCCTACATATGTGTGTTCCAGTAGCATGTGGGGACAAGTCTAGGAAGCCCTTGTTACTGATGAAGAATTGAATTGTAAAGGTTTGTAAAAATTGTAGAAATTGTAAAAAGACAAAATAGCATAAGGTTACAACAGGTAGAGTTTCGAAGCAGAAGGAAAATTCTTACCCCCTTTCCTGCTCATAGAAGGGAGGGAATAGAATCACTGTTAAAAGAACACTGGAACCACATTGAAAAGAAGGGGTATAAAATCAACTTTGTTGTTATTTATTTCATATTAAATTTATATTCATTTTTTTAAAAAATAGAATTGATTAGCAACTGTAAATATTAACACCCATACTTGCTGCAACTATCACTTGTGTCATTATTTGAGGGAATTGTATTCCAATACAATTTATCTAATTTTTGCACTTTGGAATACTTATATAGCTTTTTTATCTTAGTAAGACATATTGCTAATAGCTATTGTTACGGTCTTTAAAGGAAAGATCTTCCAGCAACTGCACCTTTAAAGTTCAAAGGAAAAATGTGCCAACTTTTCAAATCTTTGTGAAGATGTTCACTGCAACATACAGATGTTGCAGTGGAAAAGCAACTACCTTTTGAAAGATCTGTAAATAATTTGATCATATGATAAAGCAGTTTGATAAGAAACTAAACTCTTGGTTCAAATCTGATGGGAAGGCCTGAGGCTTAGAAAAAAAAAATCTTTCTCAGCTTGACAAATCTTAGACCATTTTCTTTTTGAGATATACATGGAATCACAAATCTTAAAAGGTAAAGGAAGGATTTTTGGACTTACTGGACACACAGTAATGCTTTGCTCCCACTGACTCATGCTCAGACTTTCTTCCAGTGTTGTACATTTCTTCATCACCATGTCCCAGCCACAATAAGGATCTTGGGATCCAATGCATGCACTGTGAATGAAAACCAGTCACACAACATGAGCATTTACCCTTGTCCATACAGACCCCATGATCTCTCAGAAACCACATGGTTTCTCTTCGTATTTCATAGATTTAAAGCCTACAGTGAAAGTGATCTCTCCAATGATGTAGCTGGATGAAATGACAAAGGAGTAAATAGAGAAAAATGAATCTGAATGCCTATACAAAGCTAGGATTTCTTTCAAGCGCAAAACTGAATACCCACCTGCATGAAGGATACGTAGTCAAAACTTAATATTGTACTTAACTGTTGCAGAACTACAGTCACAGAACTTAATTGCTATAGAACTACAGCAATTCAAAAACCATACATTTTCTGCTCCAGGTAAAGGATTCCTGGTAAAGGAACATAGGTTCTTCAAAAGAAATTTGGGATAGAGGGGGCGTTTCCCAAAACAATCTATAAATTAATCCTGTAAACAGGTTAACTCTTCAAACCAAAGTGACAGGAAATTTTCTATGAGAGATACTCCTTTCATGTGGTCACTTTTTTTTTAAGTTACATTCTAAGCAATTGTCCCAGACATTATGATATCTAAGTCTCATACTGTAAAAAAACTATATTTTTTGAAATTATATGCTTCAACAGGTTAATCACACAGTTTCTCATCTGGCCTCTCTCTCTGCCTGTTCAATTCATGATGCTAGATGCATTCATGCAGTGAGGCAGAGCCTGGCATAGGCATTATCCTCAAACAAGAGCTATTTCCTTCTGCCATGTCCCCAGACCTTGGCACAGTGCTCCCTTTCTGTTCTCCTTCCTCACAACTCAGAGGGTTTTCTTATTCATGTGCTTTCAATCACTCAGAACACAAATAGCTCTGAAAAGTGTGTATATATATATATACATATATATATATATATATCTTCTTGCTTTTAAGTAACAAGGACAATAGAGGCTATATCTGCTTAAAAGTTTACTTGAAAATTAGATACTAGTTATCTTTATCCCCTTCTCCTTCATAAAACCCTGTCTAAATTAAAATCATTTTAGATATTACTGTTAGAACATTACATAATTTTTAAAATTATGATTAGATCTCTTAGTTGACAGAAAGACCCTTTCCAATAGGGACAGAGTAACTGGCATAAATGGATAGTATATTAGCTATCTTATCTTATAGCTAGATTATATTAGCTATCCTATCTGCCTTAAATTTCCATTTCATCAGATATAAAAATGAATGTATTGTTTGCTACTCCCAGTAAGTGCCAAACAATATCCCTAACACTAGACATGACTTAATAAAGGTGAATTGGTTTATCCTAAAACTCTAGATGCAACTTATGCTAGTAGTGTAGAGAGCAGGTTCTCTCTGGAGAACTATTCTACACGGTTTGGCTTCTACCGCTTGATTCCAGTTTTCTCCTATGTCATCAATTACTATTTGTTATCAAAAGTAAATTATCAAGTATGTCTTCTGCAGTGCATTGATTTGGTTGTGAAGATTCAGCATGTTTCCCGACAATCATGCAACATTTAAACACTATATTTTTACTGACTAGTAATGGAGCTGTAAGTTACACTAAAGCAGGCTGGCAAGAGCAGTGTATCTACTGAGCTAGCTATGCCTACCCAGTTCCAATTACTGTCCACTATAATCCACACAGTTTGTTTATTAGGAACTAAACTGAGGTCTCCATCTTACTTCACATAAACCAGATTCCTCACTGGAATATAAAGATAAAAGACTGCCTTAAGTTCCAAAAACATCGTGCCATTCATGTCCAAATGGATAAACAAATCTGATATTAGACATCTATAAACAGGTATCTGTCAGTGTATTCATTATTACTGGTTTAGCACATATATATGCAATGAAGAAGGGGGATCTACAGAGAGAGCTGACTGATGTCAAAGAATATAATTGTAGATATACAATTTACAGGGTCCGATAGGCTCAAACTGCGATGCATATGAAATATTCAGGGTCTTGCCCAACTTTTCCCTGTAATGTTAAGAAAAATCAAAGCTTTTAATCATCTCAGCTACTCTGTGTGGGACTGCTACTGCTTCCTCCTACTTCCATTCCTTTAAGACAATTGGAATAGATCTAGGTACGATTCAGTGTAGCAGCATACAGGGACAACAAGAGCCTTAAATCTACAAGCTGCTCCTTTCAAAGCCAGAGCCAGGGATTTATGTATTATTTATTTAGTGAAGGGTTTATAACTCACAGCCCTTCGAATATGGATGCTTGCAAGTAGCTCTACCATGATCCTGGGAACAAATTTGAAAGCCAACTTTCAGAAAGCTGTGTCTACAAGAGAATGGAGGCTTGTCATTCATTGGAAAGACATAAGACCTGAGGGATCCCAGGTCCGCATCCATGGTCGATCAGTGAAGACACAGTTTCCAACCCTCTTATTAGGAGGTAGGAGACAGGGAATGCCAGGAGCAAATCCATGGCTGACAAACAGGCTCTGAAACTCTGAGTTACCTACATTACAAGGCTATCCCAGAACAAGAGATTTGGGGATTCTCCTACAAGTTCCTGTGAGAAAATTAAAGGCTTGTTTTGAAAATTTATTTCTATGCATCTTTAATAATAAATATGACCCTATATTGAGAGATGTATATACTAAGGGTGTGTGCATATGTGTGTATTAAATGCATTTATCTCTCTATTTAGATATGTAAACTATGAGTTATACATAATGAAAAAAACCCTAAGCCAAAACAAACAAACAAGCTCAGCATTTGCCATAAGGTCAAGAAAGAAATATGGTCAAATTTACCTTTCAATGTTAGTTTTAAACTGTAATAACTATAGAAGCATTTCTACCACAAAAAATATTTTGAAATTAAATAGGATGAGGCAGGGAACAATATCCTCATTAAGTTCCACAGGTTTTCCAAGACTGAAAGCATTCACAGAAACAACTCCTTCAGATCTAAAATCACTTCTTGGAAACGTGGCTGCAGTTCACATAGTCACAGCAAGAATACTTTCACTCTCAGACATCCAGGTCCATATAGACTCTCAACAAAAAGAAAATCTCCACAAAGAGATCAAGAGCTACAAATAATTCTCATGAGAAAACAACTGATGTGCAATGCAGAGCACTAAAAGGTAGTATATGAGCTGGCCTATTTGGGTAGCAATCCTGTACAGGGCATCTTAAATTATTAAAATAAAAATCCTCCAAACTTGCTCATATTTTTCAATCCCTTTAACTTATCTCTTCATAGAAAATACTCACCGAGTATCAGACAATTGGTGAAATGATCTCTTGGAAAATGGGTTGTCTTAAGCATGTTAATCGATTTGCAATAAAAACATACGAGTAGCAACATCGGACTTAAAATTCCCTAAACTTAAACCTCAACTTTTGGTATTGTTTAAAGTAAAGAAATCAGAACTTGGGAAAACCACAAGTCTGTTTTAAATTTTTATATCTTTAGGTCACTTCTAAAATAATAACCACCCATAAAATCTGTTTTTCTTAAGACTTTGCAAATTAAAGGAAAAGACATTTTCCTTTGCCCCCTTAAAATATTGCCTTAAACATACTGTAGACAGGCTGTAAATTCCTAGCTCTTTATCAAAATTACTGCAATAAAATGCATGCAAGCAGACATTACACAAATATTTGACCATAGAAAAGAGTTTTGCAGTCCAACAAAATGGGAATACCCAGTTTATCTTTGATGGATGTCATGGAGCAGAAAGACAAAGATGCTTTCTGCAAATACCTTGGTTTTCAGAGAAGAAACACAAAATACAGTTCAGCCTCTAATCTATATAGCTTGGATTGGCTCAATTTCCAGTGAAATTTCTGAATGAGGAAGACTTCCAATTGTTATTTACTGCATAGTTTTATTACCCAGTAATATTTTAAATATATAATGTAAAAACATCCTTTTTTTTTTCTTTTACACATCAGAGACGTCATTGTTTTCAATTCCTGATGACTTGCTTGAGAAGATTAAGGAGCACATATGCATAAACTTTCATTGCCCTTATGCCTACTACCGATACACTGAAAAAATCCAGTGCAAATTACAACCTCAATAAATTTGCTGAATTTTGCTACAGCTGTCAATAAAAGAGAGATGACTAGTTCTTTTATTTTAGAGTACTGAGTCCTTATCTCTTACGTTTTGCTCCTTATTACATATATAAAGTCCTGAAAGCCAATAGTAAGAACCGCAGTTTTAGAGATTTTAATAGTTTGTGATAATTATTTTATTATGTTCAATTATGGTTAATTAGCAGTACAAAAGTCAGCTATACTTTATGCTCGGTCTACCCAACTCTGAAGTACAGGGAGCTGGAGAATTTGTAGTGAGAACAGTTTATCCAGCAAATAGTGTTGTTGGTCTTTTGTAAAATTATGATAAGCATGGGTGAAAAGCAATATACCCAAGGTAATAACAGTCTGGTCAAATCAGAAACATTTTCTGTAAGGATAGCCATAGTAGGGCAACTAATATGCTGATGTCAGAGTGCCTTTTTGTTGCACAAAAAGCTTTCTGGCCAACTGTTTCCAATAATTCACATAAGACAAACTTATTTTTTTTTTCCCCCCTCCTAACTGATTCTTGAAGATAGCAGCAGGACTTTCAAAATACTCAGCCATGGTCAGAGCTCTGATGGAGACACCTCCATGCAGATTGCCAGCCTAAATAAGTAAGAAATGGCAATTCATAAACAGTGAAAATAAACATTGCGGCATAAGGGCAACAACTCTAACTGAAGGCAGGATAATGGTCTCCGCTTGTGATATTCACTGCTGTCCCAGTATTAAAAGATACAATGAACTGTACTTAGAGCAGTAGAAAAAAATTTGAATTCCTTTTCAAATGTAAAATAATATTTTCAACTGCCTTTGATAACAGTGACTGCAGGAGCAAATGCCTACAAAAGGAAAAAAGGGATTATGAAGAGCTGAGCTGATGCTGGTAGAACAGGACTTAAATCACAGAGAATGTTCATCACAGGCAACCATCAACCAGAATACCTATCCCAGTTAAAAAAGTACTGGAGAAATAGACTTATAAGGAAATATTAGTGACCTGACAGCATAGCATATTAGAGTGACAATTAAGGGGACACAATAAACTTCTAATAAAGATGATAACGATGTGCTTTAGAATTTGGCACAGGAAGAAAAAAATAGACAATCAAGAAAGTTATCTTGACATTGAGATATTAGATTGTGGAATAGTCTACCTAACAGTAGGACCAAAATCACATTCTGAGGAAGACACACAATCTGAAACTTTTGCAATAAAGCTAAACAAAAAGATTAGAAAAGATTAGACTCTGAGCCCTCTGTCACTGACATAGAAAAACAGATGAGCTAGTACTTCTTCAGATTTTTGGCTTTTTTAAGGCTGTTATTTATATACAAGCAAGCTCTATTTCTCAAAAATTATACGAAGCAGATATTAAAAACTACATATTGCCCTTGATCTGTGGAAGAAGCTCCAGTTTTATTGATGGAAGTTCAGTATATAGCCTTGGTGTAGCTGTACAGTCCAAAGCATGATAAATGTGAATAGATAAAATTAAAATAATCAAACCCAAAGAATCATAATGCTCCAAGGTAACTTGGAGTATTGGTATCTTAGTCTGTCAATCTTTTTCCCTAGATAAGATTTTCCTCTAATTACCATTTGCTATAGTATAGAAGTAGCAGTTGGTAAGCAATAACAAGAATGAGTAATGCAATGCCTAAGTTTCAGGTTAGGTTTTTATCGTCTACTCAAATTCACAGCTCCAAGTAAAGTACCTACATTCTCTCCGCATGTACAGAACCAAACATCCTCCAAATCCAGCACGATGAGCCAGATCAAGTCAAAGGCAGCCTAATCAAGCCAAAAGTGGCAGGAGAAAGATGAAGAGTTATCTGAAGGGTTATCTGAAGGATCTCAGTTCCTAATGATGGATGTATGAGGAGGTGCCATATTTCATCTAGACTACAGGCCAAAATTTTCTCCTTCCTCACAAAATGGAAAGAGAGGAAGAGTGAGTTGGTGAACTTCTATTTACAATCCTTTTGGTGCAGTGAACACTTAGTTATTCCAAGCAAAATGATACAAATACAGGAGGTATGAGTGAGAATCCTCATGAGGAATAATTTAACTCCTTTGAGTAAGTCTTGTTGATGGAAGATAGCAATTCATATTCCTCTAGGCAGAGGAATAAATTATCAATGGAGCACCCATCAAGAGATGAGACTTACTCTTTCGTTCAGTAAAATGGGAACAGCACCGCTTCTTCCTTCTCTCAGTGCTTTGGTACAGGCCTGAATGCTCGGAGTTTTATACCTCATTAATACTATATGCATTGAGGTGTGCTGGATTTGGATGCGGCCTGGAGTTGCTTCAAGTGGAATGCAGGCTTTTTGCTAATACAGCACACCGAGCTATCGAGGTCTTTGATTTTATCATTCCTATCATGTACATAGACCCTAAGAAGATAAGAGCTAACAACCAGTCCTGCAAAATACATCTGTATTCATAAACAGATGTATTCAAGAAAACACATTCAACATCTTGCACAACCAGAATGGCCATCTCACTGGGAGAAGGGAAGAGAAAAGCACAAGAATGTCATTAAACTTTTTCCCTTCTGATATACAGACATGCACATGTATACATACACACACACACAAGCGCCTATGATGTCCTTCACATAACCAAATCATTAACCAAACCAAAAGGGCTATGGTACCACCAAATATCCTGTTTCAACTAGCTGCAAAAAAGAAAACTGAACCTTGTACCTGTAATAGATACAAAATCAGCCAGTAGTTTGATGTAGAGACTGGTCTACACTTTTCCTTAAATTTAGTTTTGCACGACTTTCAAATGGGGCTTTGAATCTCCTATCACTTCTATTTTAGCAGAAAAGAATTAGGAACAACTGACTTTTTTAAAGCAAAGATAACTCAGTGCTTCCGTATAAGAGATAGCATAAATGAAAAGGGTTTGTACATAATTTCCCCTTCTCCTAGTCCATCCAGATTTCTACAACAGAATCTGATCACCTGAAAATTTATCTGTTAATTTTAGGCTTTAAATATATTACACCAGTAGCAATGTTGCACGTTATCAGATATTTATTTGCAATATAAACTATTTCCTGCTGTTTCATTTGTGCAATTCAAAGTCTGTATGATGGCATTTAAATACCAATATTTCTTGAGAGTCTCATCCTGTGCTAGTAAGCTAGCTTACTAAAAGAAGTCCTCAGAGGCTGTTTCGATGAGCAGTGTACATAGAGAGGCATGGCTGCAGAGTAGTAAATAATCTGCAACTACTTTGCCTTCCCGCTTTTGCTGCAAAGCACATTTTTCTCCAAGAAAGCTCAGCGATCCTCTATACCTGTACGTTTTGTAGAAGAGACATCTCTTCAGGGGCACCTTAACTACGTGCTCTTGCAGGCCCACAAACAGAACGCTCTGGCTGTGCAGGATCTGGAGACTCCTGATGGGTTCTCTCTGACTCGCTGGCAAGAGTTCAATTTCCTCGAGCAGGCAGCTGCTGGATGTTTGGTTCATTGGGGCAAGCACTTTCTTGATAGTGCCATAATCTGCAAAAGCAAGAAGAAAATTAGTGATTCTATTCAGTGCCCTTTAGAGAACCATATTCCATTCTGGATGTTTTCAAAGAAGCTTAAGTTGTGGGGCATTAACTTGAGTTTTCAATGCTTACAGTGCAACCAAAAGGACCTGAAAATAATGAACATTTTTTATACAAGGCAAAAATGAAAAAGAAAAAAAAAGTTTATTAATGTAGGAAAAACTTCACATCAGTAGAGAGCAGAAAATAAGCATTGCAAGTTTGGTTATTATGAATGCACATTCACAGAATATGTTCGTAAAATGGATTACTTGTTCCTTTTTTTTTAAAAACCAAATTTTAGTTGATGTTTAAAGCAATTTACAAAACAATGAAGTTTATTACTGCCTTAGTCTGTTTTAAAATTGCAAGTGTTAAAAACTCTGGGTTTTGAACATGTATAGTATTTAATGTGCAAGAATATATGCATGTCCTTCAAGTTGAGTTGTGAAACACCACAGTTCGGCAGCAATGTGGATCATACAGTAAAAGGGAGTAAAATCTCACCCAAGATCTACATCTGTCTCAATAGGCTCCCCTCCTCCTGATCCTCCATATTCTATCTCTGATTACCTGTCTAGTTGGCTTTGCTCACGAGACTATGATATCTAGGGAGGGTATGTAGTTTACAGCTTCCTCACACGATACTCGACTAAAGTAAACCATTACAGCAGTATTTTCAAAATCAAAGCCAGGGATTTTGCTCCAGTGTTTCCAACTCTATCACAAGCACAATATTACAAATACATACCATCCTCAAAAGTGTGGTCTATTCGGCACTGTTCATGCCACAGTTGTAAAGAAAAATAGAGAGAGCAGGGAAACAGATGAGTCTCACATACAAATCTGGGGCATTGACTTTTTCAGACCTGCCAGAATCCTTCAAGTGAATATTTACTTTATAATTACAATGCCTGTCCACTTCTGCCATGGAATAGCTACAGTGAAAGAAGAATAGTAAACACAGACCTTCCTAATGGATCTAACTTCATTGTCATGGATATAGTGAAAGCTCCAATTTCATCACAAATGTCAATGGTGAGTCCAACAGCTATTTAAGACCTTGAATGAATGGCATCTTCACATCCTGAGACTATGACTTGCTGGAACAGATCCAGACACCTGACAGCACTGGTTTCCACTGAGTATGACCACGTATATACAGAAGTAGCATGATGTTAACCAGACTGAGAAAATTAGGTAATCTTTTAACTTGCACTGCTGCACTTCTAAAGAGATCTGCAAAACCAGGAACTGCATGCTAGAAATCTAATCACTGTGAATGAAGATGATGATGAAGAAAAAAATCTATCAAAAATATTACTCTTTAATATATTGGAGTCCATTAAGAACTGAACTGAAAACCCAAGATGAGTCTGAAGATAGTAAGCTTTTAGATTACATAGCACATAATGAACAAGATGATAATTGGACCAAGTTAGAGAACAGTGTTCTCTAAAATTGAAAAGAAACATAAGTTTGATACATAAATGGTATAAAAATAGCCAGTAGAATGTCGCACTACAACAGTGTCATTGAAATCATAATTAAATTTGTGGTGACAATTGCAAAGGACAAGAGAAAATGAGCTCACAAATCAAATACTAAAAACAACAAATTAATAAACTTGGCTTTTTTTTTCTCCCTACAAAAAATAAAAACACTCATAGAATCTGTAGCAACTTCTCACTATTGAAAAGAATGAACATTTACAAAAACTATTATGTTATACAAGACGTCTGATTTCTTCAAGTAAAGACATCTTTTACAAATCAGCAGGTGCAAGGCAGTATAGGAGGGTACGTACTTATTTAAAAGAAGGAAAAAAAATCTACCTGTTCCTTTTTAGTAGGGAAACAGTTTCAGTCTTAAGTCTTGCCATATTGGACAGTGAAACAAAGTCTAACTAAATATTCACTGTAATATGCCATATAGCACTCTGACGATTACAAGAAGCTTCACATTTTCAGGCTTTGGTCCTCATGCGGGACTTTAAACACCCTAATATCTTCTGGAAGGACAATAGAGCAAGGCATTAGCAATCCAGGAGGTCCCTGAAAAGCATCGATGACAACTTCTTAACACAGGTGACTGAGGAGCCAACAAAGGTTCGACGGACCTAATGCTTACAGGTGAGGAAGAACAAGACAGTGATATGAAAGCTGGGGGTAGTTTTGGCTGCAGCGACCATGAGAGGGTTAAGTTCAGGATCCTGTGGTGAGGTAGGAAGATCAAAAGCAGAATCCAAATACTAGATTTTAGGAAAGCAGACTCTGGCCACTTCAGGGACCTTCTTTGAAGAATTGCAGAGGACACTTCCCTGGAGAGAAGAGAGCAGGCTGACATTTAAGGATGATCATTGCCAGGTTCAAGAGTGATCTATCCCAACAAGCAGAAAATGAAGCAAAGGGAGCAGAAGGCCTACATGGATGAACAAGGAGCAACTGACTGCACTCAGGTGGAAACAGGCACAGGCAGCCAAAGAGGAATACAGAGTCGCTGTCTGAGCATGCAGATCAGGAGAGCTAAAGTTTTCTAAGCAGTATGATTTACTAGCAAAAAAAAAAAAAAAAAAAAAGAAAAAAAAAACCTTTTAAATTAGTGCCAGATATATCCTCAGGCCTTTTATGTGCTTCTATTTGTGACCTTACGTGTATTCCTGAACACTGGGTGTTTCTTTACATCTGAAATTCCATTGCTTGCACATATCAAGAAAAGTCAACAATCAGCAAAAGCCACTGCAAGTCATAAACTCAAAAATAGTCCATGTGAGAGGAACTACAAAAGGCCTATTAGGAGATTTGCACAATGCTCCCAGAAAATATTGTTTAGAAAATTGAGATGTCCAGTCTATCACAAAAAATAATTTAAGAAATGGAGAAACAGGTTAATACAAAGAAAAACAGCTGTCAAAAGAAGACACAAAAAACGGAGGCTAAAATTACACTTAGCATTTCAAGTGGCATTGTAATTGAGCCTGAGTAAGGTATAATCTACGCAAGAAACATGCTATTCTATGTATTTTATATGAAAACAGCCTAATTTTCCTCATTTATACCTGTCAGCATAATAATCAAATTTGTTGTTTTAAACAAAAGCTTTAAATTAACAGATGGACATCTGAAAAAACTATAGATTACATAGGTTTTCAACTTGCGTAATCTGAACACTTTTGAAAATGGTATTTATTAACTGAGCTTTTTTCTCATACACTGCTTTTTGCATATTATTTGTTGGATTCAAAGTATTTGAGAAAATGAAAGCATTCAGACAATAAATCAATGTTTAAATGAAAAAAATGTGTCAGTGCTAAACTTGTATGTTTTATATATTCTCTGTATATAAGCAGGGCTTACATTCATCATATAACATTTGTATTCATTGTACAGCATGCAAACAGCAAAAAAGGATTAATATGCTCTTTTAGGCATAGTTCTTTCAGACAAATAAGCTGAGTAGTCAAACATAAAACTGTCGTACAGAAATACAGAACATGCAAAATGGAAAAAAAATAAATATAACAAAATAAACAAAAACTTGAAAGAAAACCCTATCACAAGAAGAGCATGCATTTGTTTAACAGGGGAAGATTATTCTTCTGAAAATATTAGAGAGTATGAGAAAAATCACAGAAAAAAAGGCTCAGAACAGCTAGTGCAGCAGCTGGTTGTGCCTACAAAGGGATTTTGCAATCTCTGTAACATCAAAAGAGATAAACATGGCCCAAGTAGAATATGAGAGGATTTAAAATTTGTTGCTTTTTATAAAAGTAGTTTTAAAATTAGTTTTAATCATCACTAATATAGGGATAATTTAAATCGTTGCTATATCTATTTATTCAATATGGAGGTGGGATAGAATTTGATTTAAAGTAAGGGCATTTTTAGAAAATGAGAGTTGTAAATATTCTTTGTTACTTAATCTGTCTGTTACCTCCTGGTTTCTGAGGCACACTTGATACCCAGAAATAGGTTTTATCACACTACACCTGAAAGGACAAGTGAAGCTGAAAGGACTGAGCTTCAACACTTTTTCCTCTAAGAATTAACAATATATTCTTAGTAAGTGTGCTACCTGTACCTATAACATATAATGACATAATGATAAGAAATAAAAAAGAACAGGTTGACTTTAAAATTCCTGTTTTGATATAGGGAGTTGTACCATAACAATACAAACACATTTTAGAAGTATATTGATCAAATTTTATCCCATCTTCCAGAGAACCAAACCAACTATGAAGTCAAAAAAATCAAACAGGGAATGTTCATGATTCATCAAAGCATGAATTTCAAACTGGCAATCTTTATTTTCAGCGCTGTTTCAATGTGCTACCATTTTGTATTTCCATTTGAAACCAAACTATCATTTGAACAACCTGGCCAGTACCCTAGTTATTATGATGTTCTTTTTCAGGGATTCTAAAGTATTTTTCATTATAATAAAATACATCTGAGGTTATTTTTCAACTAGCATCAGACAACCAAAACTGGAGATTTGAAATTCAGTTTTGCAATCATGAAAGAGAATAAAAACTACGATAATTGCAGGCAGAATTTCAGCAAAAAACCACTTGCTATTATAGCTCATTATCATGATGAAGATGGTAACAAGACAATAGTGGATGTTAACAGAAACACAGATATAAAGCACTTTCACTAGTTTAAAAAGGCAATAGCATAATTGTAAAACAAAAGCTTTGAAACATGTTCTAGCTGGAAAAGCAAACCAAAAAAAGAATTTTGTTGCAATTTCCTGGGAAACATTGTTAGCTGCTATATTCTGCCTTAATAACATGGAGAGTTATTTTTAATCACTAAATAGGCTAAATAAAGTGTCTGATACTGTGCAAAATCATTTATTCACAGGAAATAGTTTGAAAATCAAAAGCTTAAGATGCTTTCTCAATTGTCTTAGCTTTCCTTACTTCATTGTAGGACCCTGCTTTCTGTTGGAGAAAAGTTGCATGTG